GGGGATTCATCACCCAGGAAAGACACACCTTTGAACAGCCAGTGGTGTTTCTGTTGAGTGGAATTTCCTGGGGATGCCTCCTACCTGGGGCTGGAGCGATAGCACAGCGCTAGGGCATTTGCCTTGCGCGCAGCCAGCCCGGCCAAGCCGGGTTCTATTCCTCCTTCCTCTCGGAAAGCCTGGCAAGCTACCGAGAGTGTCTCGCCCACACGGCAAAGCCTGGCAAGCTACCGGTGATGTATTCAATGTGCCAAACACAGTAACAACAAGTCTCACAATGGAGACATTACTGGGCCCGCTCAAGCAAATCGATGAACAATGGGAGGACTGTGCTGCAGTGCCTCCTATATGAGCTATTTTATTTATTTCTTTAGGTCTTGCAGCCAAGCCTGGCCATGCTCAGGGCTGTGCTGCCAGAACCATACATGGTGCTGGGGGTTGAACCCTTGTTGGCTACATACAAGGCAAGCACCCTACAGGCTGTGCTATCTCTCTGACCATGTGTTCCTTTTAAGCCAGAAGAGTTGCTTTTCCTGTGCAGTTGTTTAGATGCGATGCTAGAAAGGAGAAATCAATACAACCTCTTTGTTCCAGGATGCTCTGCCCAGCTTCCCTCCTCTGCCAGTCATTCGAGGAACCTGCCATGGGGCTTTAGAAAATGAACTTGCAAAAAAAAAAAAAATGAACTTGCGCCATCCAGCTGGAGCGGTCTTACCCTTTTCATTTTACAAGGCCTTATGAAGATTGCCCAACCTATATTTCCAGTGTGGGGTCTCCCCAGAAATCTTTTGGGGCCTAGGGGCTGCTTCCAGGGATACTTGGATCCAGCAATATGGGTGCTCAGGGACTACCAGGGTCATCTATGGTGATGCTAGTGCCGAGGATCGAACCTAGGGCCTGAAGCATGCCAAGTACACACTCAGCCCCTTAGCTGTGTTCCCTGGCTCTTGGCCAAGTCTATTTATTGGGCAAAAATTTTTCCCCAGCAGATCTCCAAACTCCTCTAGGATCCCACTTGAAATGTATATTTTCTATTGGTGTTAAAATTTTGAAACCTCAAGGGGCTGGAGTGATAGCACAGCAGGTAAGGCCTTTGCCTTGCACGCGGCCAACCCGGGTTCGATTCCCAGCATCCCATATGGTCCCCTGAGCACCACCAGGAGTAATTCCTGAGTGCAGAGCCAGGAGTAACCCCTGTGCATCGCCAGGTGTGACCCAAAACGCAAAAAAAAAAAAAAAATTGAAACCTCAGGCCAGGGAGGGAGCACAACCAGGACAGCACGTGCTCTGAGGTGGGGGAGCCCTTGTTCAAACCCCACCTGCACTCCCACCCTGAGTGTGGCCTCAGCCACCCCTAGCACCAGCAGGCGCAAACACCAGGTCTCCAGCAATGGCCTCAGTGAACGACCTGGGGCAGCTTTTATAGTTAAAGCAGTGCTGAGTCTGGAGTGATAGCACAGTGGATAGGGTGTTTGCCTTGCATGCGGCCAACCTGGGTTTAATTCCCAGCATCCTATATGGTTCTGTGAGCACCACCAGGAGTAATTCCTGAGTGCAGAGACAGGAGTAATCCCTGTACAATGCCAGGTGTGACCCAAAAAGCAAAAAAAAAAAAAAGCAGTGCCAAGAAGGGCTCCCTAAAACACTGTTGTTCCTACCTTTCAGCAAGACTCACTCAGAGAGAACTATCCCTCTGCAGTGCCTCCAAAGGCATGGCATGTCGGGCAGTTGGGCTTTGGTGAGAAGAAAAAAGGCTGGAGAGATAGTGCAGGGGTGAGGGCACAGGCTGAGCATTTGACCCCCATGCCAGCACTGCCTGCGGTGTCCTGGGCTCTGCAGGGACCTGAGCTGCACCACACCCTTGGGGCTCACAGCAAACCGCGGCCCAGGGGGCAGTTAAAGAGAAAACAATAGCAAAATAACAAATAATAGGACGAGGGCAGCCAGTCTAAACATTCTGTCCCTCAGTGAATGAATATTTTAGTAGGTGTTGCATTGAGGGCTGGGCCAGCAGAGGGGAGGACACAGTCTGGGTTCTGGAAGGCTCAAGAGGAATTCAGTGATGTACCACATCATGAATGTGAACAGAAATGGGGTTTGTGTGCTGCAGCACCAAGAGGCAGAGAGGCTCAGGCGACTGTTGCTTCTGGCTGGGTGCTCACCGCCACCACCACCACCACTGATGTCTGTGCCTTGGGGACATGCAACGTGTCCATTTCTGGAACAGGGGTTAGGAGATTTGCAAACAGTTTTTTAAGCGCTGATTTAAAGAGTTGTAATGCTCTAAAGATTCCGGCTCCGCCTGTCAGCCTCCCCTGTTGTTTAAAAACCAGCATCAAAGCTCACGTCCCTGGCTCTGCAGACAGAATTCCAAATCACCACGATTTGTTTTCATTTAGCATTTGCTAAGCTGCTTTGGTGTTTCATAAACTAGCTGAGCCAGAGGCATGAAATGCAAGGTTATTATCCCGGCATCTTCTAAGGCAGTGGGAGTGGAAGTGCCCAGGGCCAGCCGCTACTGGCTCTTCTCTTTGGTGATTAAGGAGGATTAGTGGGGAAAGGATAGCCATGGCATATCCCCTCCCAACACCCCCACCCCCTCCCACCCATTACACTGGCAGAAACAAAGCTCCCACCCACAGCTCTGCCCAAGCCCTGCTTCTGCTCTTGGTGACACTGCACTTAAACCTGAGGTTTAAGAAGACAGTGTGCAGGGCCGGAGTGATAGTCCAGTGGGTAGGGTGTTTGCCTTGCACATGGCTGACCCAGGTTCGATTCCCAGCATCCCATATGGTCCCCTGAGCACCACCAGGAGTAATTCCTGAGTGCAGCGCCAGGAGTAACCAGAGTGCATGTTCTTCACCAGAGTGCATGTTCTTCCAGGTCCAGGGACATTGGGCCTGTGTGAGGAAGGCCTTCCCTCCTGCCAGCTCTTCTCCGTCCCAGAGGAGGGACGGCCACACAGGGTCTCAGAACCAAGCACACGGCTCATGTTTTACGATAGGGTATTTGGGAGCCTGGAACAGTACTATAAAGTTGATGTGAAGGGTCTGGAGGCAGCCCCTCATGGTTCCCCAAGCACCTGCAGGAGTGACCCCCCCCCCCCCAGCACTAAGCCATAGGAGCTTAGAGAGATAGCACTTCAGGCCAGGCGCTTGCTTTGCTTGTAACTCATCTGGATTTGAACTCGTCTGGCACCCCCTGAGCATCCCCAGGAGTGACCCCTGAGCACAGAGCCAGAGGTATCCCCTGAGTATTAAAGAATGCATGCTTCTGTCACTAGGATGATTCTGGAAGAAAGAGCAGGGTCCATTCAACTCGTAGTTTCGACATGAGGCCTCCTTTGCATCCCAGCAGTATCCTGGATGGAGGGGTCAGTCTCCCAGCCCAGTCCCCCAGTGTCCACCTGCTGGACCATCATCTCTCCCGGTAGCCACCACCCCCGGGAGACATCAGGTCCTTTAGAACTGACAGATGGCCCTTGGTAGCCAATGCAGGAGTTCTCTGGTTCTCTGATGCTGATGCTGAGTGAGCAGCCGTGGACTTGGGTGAACTGGAAGGACAGCTGGGCCTGAGTGGCTAGGAGCTGCCTCCAGGGCCTTCAACCGATGCTGGGAAATGCTCAGTGCCCACAGGTTTGCTCTGCACAACAGAAGCTGCCTCTTGCCAGAAGTGGTCAGTCGGCCACCCACCAGTCATGGGGGCCATTGCAGAAGGGATCATGCTAGGGCAGGACAGTCCCCTGGAAACAGCCCTATTTGACTCACTATCTGTTTTAGTCCATTGTGAACCTCTGTGGGCTCGTCCCGCGGCACAGATGAGGAACAGGCGCTGACCGGGACAGCCAGTGATCCATCTCATCCTCTCACCCATCACCATAGTTTCAGGGACAGTTGGCGTCTTCCCCTGGGACCATGAGCCATACAGCCTGTGTGTGCCCCAGAGACACACCACATCCCTGTGAGAGATACAAAGGCTGCCAGGCCTGGGTGACATTTTCTGTGCATGGGTTCCAGGGGGCCTGGGAACCAGGTGAGGGCTGAGAGGAAAGGAGTGAAGAGGTGTCCTTGAAAGTGTGACCGGCGCCTCTGAATGGGGGCGTTTCACCCCCACAGGTCACGTTCCCGAATGATGGTCTGCAGAGGTGCTTGAGGGGAAGGATGACACGCACCAGATTGTCTGCTGAGAAGTTTAAAATAGAAAATGTACAGACCTTTGGCTGTCTTAGGTTTCAGGCATGGTAAAACAGCTCTTTCTCACAGCCCCCAACTCTCCCTCTGCTGTCAGGTTTCCAACTCCCGGACCTCATTTTCTTGTTTTTTTGTTGTTGCTGAGCCACACCTGGCATGCTCAGGGCTTATTCCTGGCTCACACTCAGGAATCACTCCTGGTGGCACTCTGGGGACCATACGGGATGCCGGGGAACGAACCCAGTCAAGTGCCCTGCCTGCTGGACTACCGCTCCGACCCGGGCCTTGTTTTCTTTCTGCTCTGGGGTGGCGTTCAGGATTCCCCCACATGTGTTTTGCCCTACTGAATGTCTGATTCATCTAAAGGAAATGAGAGGGTCCATCATCACGATAAGATCACAGGATACCAGTGTGGTTTCCGTGGCTATCATCCTCTGTAGCAAAACACACCCAAAGGACTGGAGAGAGAGCACAGGGGTTAAGATGTTGGTCTTTAAAAAAAAAAAAAAAGATGTTGGTCTTGGAGCTGGAGTGATAGCACAGCAGATAGTACATTTGCCTTGCATGCGGCCAACCCAGGTTCATCAGCATCCCATATGGTCCCCCGAGCACCGTCAGGAGTAATTCCTGAGTGCATGAGCCAGGAGTGATGCCTGAGCACTGCTGGTGTGACCCGGAAGTTAAGAGGAAAGCCCCTGAGGCTGAGAGGAGCTCCCGTCCGCTTTTCCCGGCCCAGCTGTGAACAGTGTGGCCCCTTCCCTCTCAGGCGCTGCCTAGCTCACTGACTCCTGTGCTCTCCCGTGTTTGCAGCCTCCTGCTCGGTGCACTCGGTGAGGCCTTGCTGGTCTTCTCTGAACGGAAGATCTCCTGAAGGAACTCCCGGACTGCCGCCTGGGGAGCAGGCCAGCATGAGACACCTGTGGAGAAGCACTTCTGGGGGGCTGCTACAGAAAGTCAGCTCGTGGACCCTCCTCACTCCGGCGCCTGCTGCCCATCTGAGCCTCATCATGGGACGCCTGTCTTCGTGTTCTCCTCACGTGCCTTCGCCAGGCACTGCTCCTGCACGGGATGGGGGGTCTGGGAGGTCTTCCGGTGGGTTGCCCTCTTCCCTCTGCATGTTCCTACACTGGAGCAGCCCCTGGGACAGGGTTCCTTGCTGTCCTGTTGTCTTGCTCAGACTTGTCCAGTGAAAAGCTCAGAGAGGGTCCTTGCGGGACATTCGACTGCAGGCGGGGGCAGATATGAAGGTTGAGGGTACATTCTGGGCCAAGCCAGAATCCACACGGGAGCACGTGGTAATCCCCGAGGAAGGTCGAAGCCTTTCCTTTCCCCAGGCGGGCAAGCGGGTGTGCCCAGGCTATGGGGCTTCCTGGTGCCCCCTTCTTGCATCCTGGGCTGGTGGGACTTAACGCCACCCGAGGGAAGGGGTCTTCTAAGCTCTGATGGGTTTATGCTCCCTGGGCAGTGACCACAGACTTAGCATCCGAGCGCGCGCGCGCGCGCACACACACACACACACACACACACACACACACAAAACATGTGTTTATGTTGACACTCCTTAATGCTTTTAATCCATTTAATTCCCGGATATCTCAGGGGAGGCTCAAGTCATTGGAGTCTGAAGTACATTTTTCAGGCCAGAGGAACCATTGAATGAAGGTTCTAAACCTTGCCTTTGTGGGAGTCAGAAGAGAAGAATTTGCATAAAACGGTTATTTGATTCCGAACTCACAATGAAGGTTTAAGAAATGAAGGGCTGGCACTTGATGCCTCTTTTGCAGGCCACAGCACCCAAAAGGAGAGAGAGAACAAAAGGGAATGCCATGCCACAGAGGCAGGGTGAGATGGGGGGATGAGGGGAGTGGGAGGGATACTGGGATTAGTGGAGGTGGAGAATGGGCACTGGTGGAGGAATGGGTACTCGATCATTGTATAACTGAAACCCAAGCACAAAAATTTGTAAGTCTACAACTGTACCTCATGGTGTTTCACTAATAAAAATTAGAAAAAAATAAAAGAAATGAAGGGCTGGAAAGGAATTGGAGAGATAGTACAGCTGTTACGGCTCTCACCTTGGACGCAGCTCACGCTGGTTTGATCCTCGGTATCGGTTCCCCAGACCAGTGCCAGGGGTCACTCCCTTGAGTGCCACTGGGGGATCATCTGAGCAAAGAGCCAGATGTTGCCTCAGCACCAGCAGGTGTGGCCCGACCTTCCACTGCCCCAAAAGGAATTGAAGCCTGGGGCTGGGGAGGATGTTCAGAGATTGGAGCACATGTCTAGAGCATGTGTCTAGCGTGTGCACGGCTCTGAGTTGGATCCATGGGGCCACACGGGCCTCCCCTAGCATTACCAGCTATGGCTCGGGGGTCCCTCAGTACCTCTGGGTTCAACCATTGCACAGACTCTCATCTCCATCTCACCTCTCTCTCTCTCTCTCTCTCTCTCTCTCTCTCTCTCACACACACACACACACACACACACACACACACACACACACTGCTGGGGATGGCCCTATTCTTAGAACTATCTTGACTTCAGAGGCCGGAGAGATACAGCTGGTAGGGCGTTTGCTTTGCTCGTAACTGACCTGGGTTTGATCCGTGGCATCCCTTATGGTCCTCTGAGCACTGCTAGGAATGCAGAGCCATGAGTAAACCCTGACCTCATCACCAGGTGTGAACCAGCAGGCAAAAAAAAAAAAAAGTCTGATTTCAGATATTGCTGCCCATCTATACATTTAAAAAAAAAAAAGTTTTTCCCTCCTCATCCAGCTGTTGGTTTGGGTCATTTTGAGGTGGGTTATGAAGTTCAGTGAGACTCCTCCAGCCTGGAAGCCAGAGCCTGCAGTGAGGTGCCCACATCACTACGGAGAAACACCGATCTCCCTCCCTCCCCTCAACCTTGATAAGAAGCCTGGGCCCCCCTAGTCCTGGGATGAGCGAGCCCGGCTCAGCCAGAGGTCAGGGCTCTCCAGCTGTTGAAAACAGTCACAGAAAGTGAAGTAAGTGGCAACAGGTCCAGAATGGCTTCATTTCCTTGCCTTTTCTTGGTCTCTGCTTATTTTTTACGGTAAAGGTGTTCACATGACCTTGGTAAAGGTGTTCAGCGTGATCTTGGCGCCTGGATTCTTTCCGTTCACTCTTGTTCTCCATCAGAGGTACTGTTGGCAGAAGAGGAAGTAGAAAATAATCTGAGTTTAGAGTTTTCCATGTGCTGGCCTGCCCTCAAAACTTGGGAGCCAGTGCTTCTCCAGTTTCATAAAGTGGCATTTGTCCAAATGTCACCTTCCCCCACTCGCCAGCTTTGGTATTATACCCAGCAATGTGTAGGCGTCCCTCCTGGCTCAGTGCACAGGGGTGGCTTGGCGCGGGGCCGGGGATCAAATTCAAGATTCCAGAGTGCAAAGCTTCCCCCTAGTCCCCACATGCCATCTTATGCCACTTTGCAGGCATTATTGAAGCAGGTAGAGTGAAGAGAATCAGGCGCCGTTAAAAAAACTTGGGCTCCTATTTCCCAAAGAATTCAACTCAAAAATGACTGTGGGAGAGGCCAGGGCGATTATACAGCAGGGAGGGCCTTTGCCTTGCATGCAGCCTACCCATAGGGTTTGATCCCGAGTATCCTACATGGTCCCCACAGCCCGCCAGGAGTGGTTCCGAGTGCAGAGCCAGGAATAACCCCTGAGACTCCTGCTCCTGTGCTCCTTCCCCCCACCCCCCACCAAATGGCTGTAGGAGCCAGTTATAGTACAGCAAGTAGGGCACTTGCCTTGCACTCAGCCAACCTGGGTTTGATTCCAGCACCACATATGGTCCCTGCCAGAAGCAATCCCTGAGCTCAGAGCCAGGAGAAAGCCCTGAGCACTGCTGGGTGTGTCCCCCCCATCAAACCAAACAAACAAAAATCACTGCCAAGTATCAGACACTTTGAATAAAGACTCAAATCAGGATTTTTGTTTATCTTCTTTTTTTTTTAATCATTCCATAATTTCACTGCTTTTAAAATCTAGATTTTCTTTTCCTGTCTGACATTAACCGAGGACAGGAGAAGAGAAGGCGTCTCTTCAGCTCACTGCTGCCTCTTACCATCCTGTTCCTGATGCTTCCAGTTCTTGGGCGTTTTGGTCAGCCTCAGACGTCAGCCTTTATCACCAAGTCCTCATCCCTGGCTGAATCCGAGCTCTGTGAATCGAGACACTGTCCCCTGACTCATTCCTTGTGTCTCTCTGGGGCCCCAGACCCTCAAGTAAAGAATCTGCAGGTTCTGTATCGCAAACCATAATGCCTAAAATGAGATAGAGAAAGAGAGAGCGAGAAGAGAGGTGCCTGCCATAGAGGCAGGCTGGGGCAGGGGGTGGGAGGGTGGCTTGAAGGAGTGGGAGGGAAACTGGGGACACTGGTGCTGGGAAATTACATGGGTGCAGGGATGGATGTTGGAACATTGTATGGCTGAAATGCAATCATGAACAAGTTTATAATGCTTTATCTCACGGTGATTCAATAAAATTTAAAAAAAAAGAATCTGCAGGTATCTCCTGTGCTCCCTACTATTTAGGTGATTCATTTGGTGGTGTCCTATGTGGATTTGTTTCGTTTTTTTGTGATGGGGCCACATCCAGTGGTGCTCGAGGTTTGCTTGTGATTCTGCGCTCAGGGCTCACTTCTGGCAGTACTCAGGTGCCCGTCTCTGGTGCTGGGGTTAGAGCAGAGTAGCTGTGTGCAAGGCCAGCACCTTAACCCCTGTGCTTTCTCTCTGGGCCCCTGTGCGGGCCTCGATTCCCCGAGCTGTGGAATCACGCAAAGCCTCACGCAAAGCCTCACGCAAAGCCTCACGCAAAGCCAGGGAGTTGATTTTTCCTTTATGTACTGTCACTGTCACTGTCCTCCTGTTGTTCATCGATTTGCTCGAGCAGGCCCAGTAACATCTCCATTGGAGACTTTGTTGTTACTGTGTTTGGCATATCGAATACATCATGGGTAGCTTGCCAGGCTCTGCCGTGGGGGCGAGATACTCTCGGGAGCTTGCCGGGCTCTCCGAGAGGGGCGGAGGAATCAAACTCGGGTCGGCCATGTTGACTGTGTGCAAGGCAAACGCCCTACCGCTGTGCTATTGCTCTAGCCCCCTTCATGTACAAACAAGGAATATGCCTTCTTTCAAGGGAGCCTTGGTTCTGTGTGTTATTCCTGATCTACTGTAGGTATACATGAAATCATTAATTTTCTTGGTAATTTGCCTTTCTCTCTCCTTCAGTCTCTGCAGGAGAGGACGTGGGCAGGTGGCATTCCCTGGGGAGGGGTTTTGACACCTCACACAGGCCCAGTCTCCTGCCAGCATTCCGGTCGCTTAGCTCAGGGCAGGGAGGCTCACCCAGTTTCTCTTTCTAGACCTGCGCTCCAGAAGGCTGACCACTAGCCAGTCACAGCTATTAAGCTTGGGTGGGTCCAAATACAAATGTGCGGTAAGTCTAAGTTCACACCTCTTGACTATTAGGATTAAAAGATAGATATTTTGGTTGGGGACCACACCCAGCAGTGCTCAGGGGTTGATCCTCTGTGCTAAAGTGACCATGTGGGGTGCCTGGGATCGAACTGTGGTCAGCCACATGCAAGGCAAGTGTCCCCTGTACCTTCTCTCCAGCCTCAAGATTTAGGATTATTAAAGATGTATAATATCTAGCTTCTTTCGTATTTATCAGTGAAAACTATTACCTAAAGTAATGTTTATATATTGGATTAAATAAAGTATACTACCAGCCCCTACTTTTTAAAAGTGGTGCTAATAGAAAGTTGCAGTTAGATATCGGGCTCAGGTGATGTTTCAGTTGCTCAGTGCTAATCTGGAGCAGGTCATCTGCCCAGGGCCGAGGAGGTGGCAAAGGAAAGAGGTACAGGCAGCAGCCGGTCATAAGAGCTCGCTGAA